TTCAGTCCAAGAATCAACTTGTTTTCACGTGATGATTCGGAATGATATTTTGAACTTTTGTTGAAGGATTAACTATTCTTGTCATGGCAAGAGATCTTGGGATAAATTTATTACTTTCTCTCCCAATATTTTTGCCCCTTGTTCGAGTAACTTCCGTTATATTTTCATATATTAGCATTATCTTAATATACAATTCTCTTAATGCTTAATATAAAAATATCAAACAAAATCTACTTGATATATTAAAAAAATTTATTTAATAGCTAAAGTTTATAAAAAAAATCTTAACAAATATATTGTCTGTAATATCGTCATGTTTGTCAACAATACGCTTTGCTCCTTTCTAGCACAGGTCATTGACCCATTAAGGTTGGGTCATGCTCAGAAAAGCTACAGCGTCTGATCATGCTTGCGTTGTGTCCATTCGCAAAACAAATTTGGCCCCAAAACAGGCATTTAAGTTAATTGGCTAAATAACAGTTCATTTGTCCCTATAAGATGTACTAAAAGTTAGCACACATGGTAGGACTAGGACGCAGTCACATCCACTGTGACAGAAAAAACCTACCTGATCAAGCTTTTTGAATGCCAAATTGATTGGCTAATTATTAGTCTAAATGTGACAATAATTTTAAATGTAGTGTGTAGAATATACTAATATTCTTTTAACTTTCCAACACCGAATATTTGACCCTTAATTTGTTAATATTTCTAAATATGAATCTTAATCTTAATCAACTTGGTTTTTATGCAGTATTGTTCGCTATCTGGCCCCAGCTTTTATGTGGATCTCCAGCCTGAAGGTGTTTCACCCACATGCACGCGCATAATAGCACCTTTTTCCTCGGAACAGTGCAAACATGAATCCTTTGAGTGCCATGAAAGTAACGTGCCAGGAATCAACAACAAAAAGTACATACAAAAGGAAATTATAGTTTATAAAGCCTTTTTTCTAGCTTACACCCACAAATTCGTTCATGTTTCCAAGTTTTTTTTACTTCCGAAATGCACTATCTGCTTTGGCTAACATAGGGACCCGCATATACTTTATGAAAGCATATATGTATTTAATGGTGGGACGTGTATCCCCGGAAGAAGAACAATTCTCCCTCCAAGAATTCATACATATACGAAAGTTATAATAATATTATCTTTTTATGACATAAGAGCTTGAATGCTAAGCCACATATCGAGTTTTACAAACTTTATGGATCTTATATCTGATGAAGGGTGTGTTAATGAATTATACAAGTGGTCACGACTCTATATGTTCTAAATTACTCACCAAAGTGGTTACCTGACAGAGATAGGATAATGCATGAAATGAAAAATGGGCAAAAAATTAAAAAGCACTATTGTTTGGATGCAGCGTGGACATAGAAGAGGACAAAAGAGAAAAGGAAAGGCATGGAATATTGCTTTGCGTATCAGCAACAAGCATTTCTATATTTGCGGTATCACTTTTTCCCATTGCCTTGCTTGTTCAGTTTCTTTTTAGCATCTGAGTTTGGCCACACAAATGGGATTAATTTTCGCATGCCTGTGACTTATGTCGGCGCCGGGTCTTTGTCTTTGACTGAACGGAAACTTGAAGAGTTTCATTAACAGTTGCAGTAACTTTTCATGATCTCTAACTTCCTCCTTTTCCTCTTCATTGTTCCAATTGCTATTCTTGTCACAGAATCTTAATTAGGTAGAGAGAGCGATGGAAATTACTTCCAAGACTTGAATAGTGTGTATTCTTAAACAAATGCAAAGTTGAATTTGATTTGCTATCTGGGATTTATTATATTGAAAAAGATAATAAATTACATATACTTCATTTATTTCTTAAATCATGAATTGTTTTTTTTTCTGCAGAACGATATTTCAACCAATATTTTCTATTTTTCTTGCAAATTGAAGTATAGCATTTTATAGAAGATTCGCATCTCATCTTCCCTCAGCTCTGGATTCCTAAATTTATTAACTTTTAGATTTAATGACACTTTTACTTTCTCTACTTTTAATTATGTGCAATTTTGATCTCTTATTTTTCTTAAATTTAATTTGATTTTTTATTTTAAAATTATACAAATTTAGTTTCTATGTTCATTTTCTTTACATAAAACCCTCAAATTTATTTATTTTATCAAATTTCTTAGGAAGCTAGTATGGAATTGAAAAATAAAATAATTTTTAAAATTTAGAAGCAAGAAATTTTGGTTAGAACTTGATAAAATTTAAAGGATTATTATAAGATGTGATGTTAGGATATGAATTAAAAAGTTTGATATATACTTTTTATTAAATTATATATTTTGATTGGTGTTAATCAAGTTATCCATTTATTCATAAGTACTCTAAGTAAAAAACAATAATTTTGAAGTCTTAGGTAAGAAACTATTGATTGGATCAAATTTACGAAATTTTAAAAGAAAAAGATTTAATTATAGAAAAATTTGAAAAACCAAAATTACACATAATTAAAAAAAAATAAAAGCCTATCTTTTAATTTCCGTTTTGTAGGTTTAATAATATTAAAAACTATAACTCCTCTAGAAAAAGTAGTGATAAGAAGCATCAACGTAAGCATATTCTTACGTTTTTTCAAATTTTTTTTCAACACTTTACCAATTCTATTATATTTACTTTTATTATTGCTTTATAAATTCTTTTTAATCCAATAAAATGCTTATCACCGATAATAAAAAATCTATTATGAACTAAAGAGAAATATATCCTCCCATCTTTGAAAATACAATAATTCATATTAAAATAATAAAAATGGTCAGTATGTAAAATCATGCTTAGTTGTGATGATAGGAGCAAGAATTATGTGGGTAGCATTACCATATTTTGTGTCCTGTGATCCTCTTCTCTCTATGGGTAGGGTATGGGTAGGGTACTACGGTACCCATCCCCATACCCGCGTTTTAAAAAAATACCCATACTCAGCCCCATACCTGCATGGATATGAACATTAATCCCCATACTCGTACCCTCTGGGTACTCGCATACCCGTCTTGTACCCATGACCCGCGCTTATTTGAGAAAAAAATATTTATAAAGAAAAATATGTTTATATAACTTCACATAAGTAACATAATAATACAAAAATTCAATATGTAGTTGTCGAACAAGGTACAAATATAGATAAAAACTAAATATTCAAAGATCATAAATGTTAAATGTATCTTAATATAATAATTTTCTAAACTAAAATTCTTAGAAACAATAAGCAAAAACTAAACACACAAGTTATTTGTCAGTGATAATTCTATCTTGTGTGAGATTTGATTGTTGGTAATGTCAAAACGACAACGAAATAGATCTATACAATGGTTATTTCTTTGTGTGGGATCACTTAGTAACCTCTTGTGACCCAATGAATAACATTTCATAGTTATTAAGTTTTAGTGAGACAAACATTGAGAATGAGAATAGAGTTAAAGTAGAGAAGTTCAATACTAATAACAGAAAGTTGATACATAAAATATTTTTTTTAACTTTTGAATTTGAAATTGTAAGAAAAATAATAGATTTAATTAAAATAATATAATATAATTAATATATATATATATATATATATTAATATTAGTATTTTTTAACTCATATACTATACGAAAGTATTTTATCAAAAATATAAATTTTTAAAAAATTATTTTAGTGAATTAAATATTTATAATGTATATAAATTTAAAAAAAAGAATTTGAATAAAAGATAAATAGTTACAATAAAATTTTATAATAAAGAAATATACGTGTATATTAAAAAAATTATACTTTTTTATCTTAAAAAAATTAACAATTTTTTTTTATATTTATATCTTTTCAAAAACTTCTTTGAATGTGAATAAATAGTAAGAATAATATTATTTAGATTTAATAAATTATAGTTGTGCTTGTAATACATATGTTATATAGAAAAATATTATTTTAAATTAAAATATAAAAATAAATTTTAAATATTATTAATAAATAATAAGTTTACAGTAATAGTAAGTAATTGTAAAATTTATAAAATATTTATAATATATTTATTATTTATCATTCACTTTATGATTTAAACATCAATATGATTTTATTAACAAAAATATTTGTGTAAAAAATATTTTGTGTGTCATATATTAATAATATTTTAAAAAAAGTCAATCTTATATTAACTATATAATAATTAAATTGTGTTAGCCTAATTAAATGATATAAAATAGTAAATAAATTTTTTTTATTAAAAATATAAACCAAAATAATTTTTTTGGTTTACTTTATTATTAAATATATTTTTATATTAATTTTATATAACTTCACATAAGTAATATAATAATACAAAAATTCAATGCATAATTGTAAAATAAAGTTCAAGCATATATATATATATATGCGGGTATGGAGTGGGGTAGGTACTTAGATACCCATACCTGCACCCATCCCCATTAAAATTTGCGGGTTTTTACCCACACCCATACCCATACCCGTATAGCGGGTAAATATCCTACCCATTATAAGTAAATTTTGTGGGTGCCAATTGGGTACTTTACCCACTACCATCCCTACTTCTCTCCATGTGGATTTGATATTTACTGTATCATACACCACATGTGCTGTTTGCACAAAGAACATCACGTAAATATGCTTTGCTGCTCAGCTGTTCCCGATCAAATGTGTCCCTCCCTTCCCATTGTTAAGGAAATCAAAAACATTTTCAAGTTACTCTCGATCTGCAGCCTTTAATATCCATCCAGATTCTTCAATTGTTGCCATATCTAAAAAACATTTGAATAATTTTCATCTTATCAGTTAATTTTTAAACGTGAAGTTAAGCTTAATTTTTTAGTATCCATTATTCTTTACATTTGATTGGCCTCACTTTCAAGTCAAAAGAAGGGAAAATGGAGATTTTTTTTTCACAATTACTAGATCAACTTGGGACTCCGCAGAGACAAGGGAATAGGGAGTTGAGGATTGTTTAGGGTACCTCAAATTGTTGCACCCACGCAGAAATCCATACAAAATTAATAAGAACTATATGCTTGTTAACTCGGAATCGAAATTATATGTACAATCCAATAAACAGAAACAGATTGTCCAAAGGCCGAAAATTAAAAAGAAAAAAAAAGACATATTTGTGTGAAATAGTTTAATTTAAGGCCCAGAATAAGGGGGAAAAAAGGGGGAAATGCTAAAACAATAAAAGGAAAAAAGAAACATACACGGGAATACGTTGATATATTCATCATATCATATTCCCCGTATGCGAAAAAAGATAAAGCCTTTCCCCAACCAAAAAAAAAAGAAAAAGCGTAACACAGGCCGTTAGATCTTCATTCTGACTAATCATGCGCCATTAGATCATATCCTATCAAACTCTGGATCTTCTTTGTTTTCATTGCTTATTATTATAGGTATATATCTAGACAGGAACAAAGGGCGGCACCATCTGAGCCGGCTCGTAACAGAACGGAGCGGCGGGGTGCTGCCACTTCTTGAAGGACACGGTCACCTTCTCCGGTTCGCGCTGCGGCGTCTCTTGCGGCGGTTTTAGGTCGAGCGGCGGCGGAGACGAGGCCAACGGCGAGAGGAGGGGGATGGCGACGTTCCAGTGAACGGCGCGGTTAATCTGCAAGGAGGAGGGGGCTCTCCTCTGCAAGCGGCTTGGCTGGTGGCGGTTATCGTTTCTTTGTGGATCAGACATCGGAAAATAAATTCCCGGCGATAGGAGAAGAGTGATGATTATGATGAATTGAGGGAAATGGTGGCTAATTTTATAGTAAGATATATAAAGGAAGGGAATGGGGAGCGTGAGGTTCACAGCACACCGCACGTTCGGAAGCTGAAAGGGTCATCGAAGTCGGCTCGACCTACCTGTTATACAGCTCGGCTTAGCTGGTACTCCCCTTCTAAGCTCCATGTCTCATTATTCTCTTTCTATAAAGGTTTTCTGTTTTCCTAATGTGTTCTTCTCGTTCCTATTTAAGAAATTTAAAGTATATAAATTATTTAATATAATTGTTAAATTTTTATTATTTGTTTATATTTTACTAGTTTATATATTTAAAGGAATATTAGTTGTTTGCTTATTTTATCTTTATTATTTAATATTTTTGTTGAGTAAAATAAGAAAAATATTAGTGAATAAAAATTATTTCATGCATGCGGTTACGTTTTACTAAGATTAAACGATTGACGTTAGGGTTAAATTTTCATATAAACTAACTAATTTGAAATAAAATGAGTGATGCCTTCAAAGATTTTGACGTATAAATTAATGAGTGTAAAAAGAACATCTTTTTAAATTATATAGTATATCTTTAAATTTTTAGGATTTTGATTAATTGATAAATATTAACGATAAGTTATACTGAGTTAAATAATTAATAAAAAGGTTTAACATAATATTGATTGGCATTTATTTTATTAAAATATCTTTATTTCGGCGTGATATAATATATTCTATTAACAAAATATCATTGTAATGATAAATATTTAAAGGATTTTCTTAGTTTATATTTTAAAACTACTGGTTAAAAAATAATTTTTTAATAAACAATGCATTAAAAATTGTAAAAAAAAGCATATTGTTATATTTGTTAATAAAAAAATTACTTACAGTTTTTTTTAACAAATATCTTTAAAACATTAGTGAACATCTTATATAAATTAGAATCTGTTATAATAAATAATGACGTTTTAGACTATAGCATTTGAAGAAAAAAAAAGTATTACATATTTTATAGAAGTATGTAACGTACACACTCATTCTCTTGTCAGATAAAGAGTAATTACTCTAATTTTTTTAACTCTTCCTCAAGAACAAAAATGGATCAATTGGTCATGTTATGCACACAATTTTTTTACTTGATCTCTTATAAAAACTATATATGAAATATGATATAATTTTGTGTCTTTATATTATTGATCCTATCATGTGATTAAAAAACTCTAACACTTACTGCAACCCAATAAGACATGTTTAGTCTTGTGTTTGGAATCATAAAATTATGGTGTAATTTTTGCCAAAAACATGGCTTTTAACTTGTAAAAAACAAGACCAAAAATATTAAAAACTAATAATATTAATGACTTAATAATAAAACAATATTTTTTATTAAAAATGTATTAAGGTACTTTTAAAATCACATAAATGAATATATTGTAATTTAAAATATTATTTATTAACTTCTAAATTGAATTAATAGAAGAAAAGAGAGATGGAAAGGCAAAGCGAAGCCGAGTGGTTGCGGCAGTAGGCAACTTAATTAATTGTATTTGGAAGAGAAAGAAAGGCAGGAAAAGGGGATGAGAATTCAGAGTCAAAGGTTGAATGAATGATAGAGAAGTAATAGTAGTGAGAGTGTGGTGATATTGTAATCTAAGACAAGACAGGGCTTGAGGGGAAGATAGATAGAGAAATATATGATAATGCATCCTTTGTTTGTTTTGTTTTGACGTTTTTCTATTATCATCAAATAATAATCCTACTTGATGGGTCCCCCACTCTCCACGTCACATCACATCACCACTACAAACCAAACCACTCTCTCTTCTCCCAATTCTTTGTATAAATTATTTCAAACCATTTAAACTAATTACTTGCCTAATCTAGCACTCTTACACTAATCTGTCATTATTTTATATCTCAAAATGAACCACAGCTGATTTGATTATCATAACTAAATAACCAAATAATCAAACTTGTTTTCAAATTATTTTGTGTAAATGTAAACTTTAAAATATCTGGGTAATTGGTCGCATATATTAGTATTACAAGAATAATTGTGAGGCTAGTTCTTGCTTACCTTGTTTGAGGGGTATTAAATAGGTACCGTTTTAACTAACTATTTGTTGGTAGAGATAAAATAAATTTAAATGATATTATTTAATTAAAAAAATGCTTGCAATAGAAGAAGTAACGTGATGTATATACAAAAGTATATATAGTCGTATTTTTAAAAAGTTAAATTTAAGATTATTGGTTAAGAACGTGAAATAATATTATTAGTTAAAAGAGATTTTTGTCAACATATTTAAGCACTCAATAATTAAAGAGAATGACATTAAAAAAAAAGAAAATAAATTATTTAAACCAAAACATATTACATAATAGCAAAATTTGTAATGTACGAGGAAAAATAAAACAATTATGAATAAAAATATAAAATTATTTAATATAAAAATTAGACTTTATTTTAACTACTTTTAATTAAGATTTATTTTAAATTACTTATTAACTTTTTTAATTTTAATGTTTAACTAAATTTTTTTTAAAGATAACTTAAGTAAGTTAAATAGTAACATAGTTTACCGTTTGTCACGTCACTTCATCTCACTCTTATACTTTACTCTTAAATTTTCTAGTCACAAATTTATATCAGTATTTTATTTTAAAAAAATTAAGATTCAATTTAATCAGGTACAAAATTAAAAAAAAAAATAGCTAGCTATTAAAATAAAAAAATAATAGATAATAATTTAAAATAAGTTCTATTTAGATATAGTTAAAACATATTTAAGTCTAAAAATTATAAAATTTAATAAAAATAATTATATTTAAATATTTTATTTAAAAATAAGCATCAAAATTTATAATTAATAATATATAGGAGTTTATAATTATAAATATTATGAAATAGTTTATATTATTTAACTCATATTTACTATTTATTGCCATTTTAATTACTCATCTCTAAATTTGTTAATGAATTTTCTTTTATGATTTAAAATTATGTAGTTAAAATCACTCAAATTGTGATATGTATATTTTTTTTTTTTTGTAAATTGTAAATTTTTAACACATAACACAGTATAAATGACTGAAATTATAGATTTTTTAACTATCAATAATTTTTTTTCTTCTATTAATGAAGAGGTTTCTAGTAGATGTATTTACAAATGAACTTAGAATGACTCGTTTATCTTGAATATTCTCCTTAACTTATTTATAGAGCTTAATTATGAGTGAGCTACTACTTGATTAGTTTATCATAATTTTGTTTAGGAGAGTGTTAAAAATATACTATTTAACATATTTTTTAAATATAATATTAATTATTTGTAAAAATTTATTGAATTATAAAAGTACAAAATATAATTAATTTAGGAGTAAAAATATTAAATTAAGAATGAGACTTATAAAATTTTAAATTTTATTAATAAATTTTAACAATAATTAAGAATATACTAAAAATAATATTGCTAACATCTTATTTTTCTTAATAACTCATAAAATGGAAGACTCCAGCATAAAAATATCATAAAATTCCTAATTTAAGATATGAGAACATGTGATACATTATTTTCTTATTCATGAATACTTGTAATAGATTTGAAAACAATTATTTAAAAAGGCATTAATATGAGAAAAATATGTTTGAGAAGTAAATGAATTAGATGCAATATGACAAGCTTGCCCAACCATGTCACTCAATCTTAATAAATAGGGTGTGGGAATCGGATTCAGATGCTTTCATGTGTAAAAAAAAATTGGATACCATTAATTCTCTCAATCTCACTATTTAATTTTTAAAATTTTTTATTTAAAATAAAATATATTATATCAATAACATATATTAAAGGAATAGGATTTAAAATCACCGCAAAGAATCCACCTATCCCTTGATGATAGGTTAAAGCTATAATGACATATATACCCCGTATAGTGTAAAAAACATCGTTCCTCATCCTCGTTTTCCTTCCTAGAATCCCATAAAAAAATTGTGCCAACCTAAACCTGAGCCTCGTATAGCAATTATCTGTAATTATTGTTATAAAATAATATTTTGAATACGTTTTCTTTCTTTATTCAACAATGTTAAATATTTATATTTTAGATGAATTAACTCCATATGCAATTGCATAATAATTAAATTTAAATTTGAATTTGACGTATCTAACTCAATTGTTAGATAGATTATAAACTATCATTATATAGATAATTAATTTTATTAATATCTATTTTTATGATTGATTATGATTAATTTTTGAAAGTCTTAAAAATTTGCTTTTGATGTTTTTAATATAATAATTGTTTTTTAGAAAATTTATTGATAATTATTTAAAATTAATTCTAAACATTGATATTAAGAAAGTGATAAATTCTATAACTATTTTTTATTTAGTAAATACAAATTTTAATTTATCAAATTATAAATCTTGATTATTTTACTTTAAATTTTATGTCATTTTATATAAAAAATAATTAAAATGAATGTCATTCTGTAAAATTAAAAATTAAAATAATTTTTTATAAAATTAGAAACTTCAATAATAAATCCTTATTATTAAATTACCTAGTAAACTAACACTCAGTAAAATCACCGCTCTTTTAAGGCGGTTGCGTGGTGTCATTGTCACATTCCCTGTCAGGATTTAATCGCAAACCTAACTATGAATCCGATCGCCACGAATCTCTTTGAATCCCACGGTGAATGTGTAGGTAACGTTGTCATATCATCAACCATAATTCGGAACGACAAAATTTAGATATAATTGTTTAAATGTAATTTTACAGTTTTATTTGGTTATAGTTAAGGTATTATATAACTAGACATGTAAATAGATAAACTATTTTTTAGCAACAGTGCTTATAGCTGATTTTTTTAAAGTATAACTTGACTTGTTTAAATAATAAACTTAATTTAATTTTTAAAAAAAATTAAATTAATTAAATAGATCAAAGTTTAAAAAAATTATTAGATTGGTCTATTTAAAATTTTAAAAATTTATAATAATATATTAAATAATTTTAT